GGAGGAAGCAACTCACCTCCCTCTTCTCCTGCCTCCTCCTGGCTGAATGAGGGCCGGAAGCGGGGCGGCCAGAAGCAGGGGGCGGGGCTTCGTCATGTGCCCCGCCCCCCGTACCTCACCCGGGGGAACTGCGATCCCCTGCGTTCCCCCCGAAATGACCTCTGGCCATAGATAACAATGTCTGAAATAGATAAAGGGGGGGGGCCCTATCATCATAACCTGCATTACTAAGAATTCTCCACCCGCTTGACAAGAAGGGGAAAGAAAGTGGTAAAGGAAATAGACCATCGTCTTCTCAAGCTGGCTAAGTACTCATCTCCCCCTGTGCTTTCGTACAGCTGGTGGCCAGCTGGCCTCAGTCCTGCAGCAAGCCTCCCTCCCTGTGGTGAGTTATGCAACATGCTCCACTTCAGCCTACTGGGGCTCAACGGTCAAGGACACCATGGTGTGTGCTGGAGGGGATGGCACACGTGCTGGATGTCAGGTAATTGTTGGCTTGGGGGAAACACAAGCATATCAAAGGGCCAAATTAGATGTTGCGGTTTGTAACAAGTTGGGGGTCATGGGCACGTCCTCGGTTTTCCAACTCTGGGTTGGGTAATCCCTAGAGATTTGCGGGTGGGGCCTGGGGTAGACGGGGCCTAGGGATCTCCTGGAATTACAGCCCACCTCCAGACTACAGATATCAGTTCCCCTGGACAAAATGGGTGCTTTGAAGGGCAGACTCCATGGAACTGTGCCCCACTGAGGTCCCTGTCCTCCCCAGGCTCCACCCCCAGATCTCTAGGCGTTTCCTAACCTGGGTCTGGCAACCCTATCTGCCCCACCTCCTGCCAATGGCCAAGGGGGACCTGGAAACCCCAAGTTTTGGGAGGGGAGCAGCCTCAGCAGGGCACAATGTCATACTGTCCAGTCTCCAAAGCAGCCCTTTTCTCCAACTGAATTGATCTTTGTAGTCTGGAGAGCAGTTGCAATTCTGGGGGGGTCTCCAGGCCCTGCCTGGAGGTTGACAACCCCAGCCTCTCCCCAACAGGCCAAATGCTGCCTCCATGGGGCCATTTTTGGATCGGGAAAATGGTGTAGCGGGAAGTTCAAAGCCTCGTCTTCCTGTATACCAGGGCCACTCTCAAGATACTCCAAGGTGGGCAGCTGCCAGGGCCCAGTGGCGGGACCCACTGCTGCCAACCCTCCACCAGTACACCCTTCCCCCCACTGATTGTTCTGCCACCCACACACTTCCCTGTTCGTGCTGCCTAGCAGCTCAAGGGAAGGGTGTAAACATGATGCACAGGTGAGGGAAGGGCTCACAAGCAGGGGGTGGGGAGGACAACAAGCAGGTGGGGAGCACGGGGGCCAGTGGGCAGGAAGGGAGATGAGGCTGGGGCCAGATCATGGTTAACAGAGAAGGGCACTTGAGCAACGTCTGCCCAATCTCTTGGAAACATGGAAAATTCTTCTTCCTAAGAATTACTGAGCTCTCGTTTTAAAGCAAGTTTCTAGACCCTACGGTTATGAGCCTACACTTGACAATATACAGGCAGGACCTGTCGAAGTGCTTTTCTTATTCAGCATAATCAATACAAGTTGCCTACCTTTCTTTCATGCAGATTTTTGATTGCCTGTGCATGTGTGGGTGGGTGGGTTTTTAACAAGCTTGATTATTCTTCAAAATCTAAAATTCTAAAATTAAAAATGGTTATTTACATCTGATTTCGGAGAAAACAATCAGTCTTTAGAATGGATTTCAACTGTTCGTGATCATTTCTGTACTAACATTCGAATTTTGGTAATGACTTGGTTGCTGGTTTTAAAAAGTTGTTAGTTCCAAAGTCAAATATCAAAGTTCTCTTCCAACTAACTATCTTAAGACCCTAACAACAGGGGTCATTTCGTAGAAAAAGAGCTAGGGGAACTCATTAGCATAACTCATTAGCATATGCCACACCCCCTGACATCAGGGGCCTGGCGGTGGACCTGCAAGGCCAGCGGGAGTGCGAGGAAGCCCCGCCAAGGCCCTCCCTGGCCCCAGGCAGGCAGGGGTGGGGAGAGGCGGGGAGGAAGCAACTTACCCTCCCTCTTCTCCTGCCTCCTCCTGGCTGAATGAGGGCCAGAAGCATGCAAGGGGAGATCTGTGCCAGGGATAAAATTCTCTATTCCTCTATTCCTCATGAGACCCTACTGGTATAATTTTCTTCTGTGACTGTCCCTTCCTTATTTGAGAGGTAACCTCCCTGTTTGTGCTTGCTGTTTGGAGCTGGAAAAACAATGATACTGTTTAAGAGGGCTCTCTCTTTAATCTAAAGTCAACAGTGCCATGCCTTTGTTGAACTCACCACAGATGGTTTCCCAAGCACAGCCCTTTACTTTCCCTATAAGAGTGAATGGCAGCCATTTGCTTATATGAGGGAGAGGGTCAGAGATAATTTGAGTGTGGAGACTAAATTTTGCCTAAGATCTCAGAGATCATATGGATATAAAGGCAAGTAGTCAGTGGATAGTCAAACTGAGGTAAATTTGCATCCATGCATCCTGTCTGCAAAATGTCCAGTCCATTTTGAAAAGTCTGTGAATCTTTTCACCTGAA